TACTAGTATTTATTAGTAGTCTAGTGTTCTGCATTTTTATTGGCCCAATTAATTAGCCCAGCAAAATTAAAAGTTTTAATTTAACACAAATTATCAGTATTTTTTACTATTATCATTTTTATTTATGTTTTATTTTTATTTGCGTAAGAAAGGAAAGCCCAAAGTTTATTCTTGCACAGGGCCTCCGTTTTCTCAGGACCGGCCCTGACTAACAAAGATATTTTCCAGTTTTCCAGTTAAACAGAAAACAAGAAACGTATTTACTCAAGAATTTGCTGGAAAACTGGAGAAAGGAAAAAACAAAAACGCGTTTACCAAATCATTTTCCAAAATGAAAAAAATGAGACATGTCTCACTTTTCCTTAATGATTTGGAGAAGTGACTTTTACTAGTTTTCTAAATTTGGAAAACGCGGATGCTACAGTGTCACTGCAATGAATTTGCATACTTACACCTAGTGGTGGGTCTGGTCCCGCTCCGATGTCGATTCCATTCCGATACCTCCAACCTCGTACCTTACCCCTACCCTACCTTACCCACCCAACCCCCACCCCGCGTACCCATTTCCCCTATAATGACCCTACAACAGCCCCTGCCACATGCCCCTACCTCGGCCCCACCCCGATCCACCCTACCCTACCGCCACCCCCCTACCACCTCGACCCCACCCCGACTCACCCTACCCTAACCCCACCCCTACCTTACCCCTTACCACATGCCTCCTACCTCGGCCCCACCCCACCACCGTCCTACCCCCACCCTTCCGCCATCCTACCCCCCACCCTAACCTTCCCCTACCTCGGCCCCACCTGGATCCTGGGCCCACCCTACCGCCATCCTATCCCAACTCCTTACCCTACCCCTACCATATCCCAACCCCAACCCTACCCACTACCCCCACCCTTACCGCCATTCTACCCCCACTGCCATCCTACCCCCCACCTTACCCCTTCCCTACCTCGGTTCCACCCTGGTCCCAGCCCCACCCTACCGCCATCCTATCCCAACTCCTACCCTTACCTTACCCCAACCCTACCCACTACCCCAACCCTACCCCACCATTACCCCTAACCACGACCCTAACCCACCCACTACCCTCACCCAACCCCCTAGACCTTACCACCCCACCCCGACCATACCCCTTACCCCACCCCTACCCACTACCTCGACACCTACGAGTAGGTATGGGTGGGTATGAAGAGTTGTGGGGGAGTATGGATAGAGTGTAAGATCGTGATAAGGGTATGGGTAGAAATTTGATGAACTGGGTGAAAAAATTGATAAACATGTTTTCAGATTTGAAAATGGAAAACTAAAAAATAGAAACAGAAAATTGGAGATAGAAAAATTGAAAAATAAAAACAGAAAATTGGAGAACAAAAAACAGAAGTAAAAATCAGGAAAATATCTCTGTTAGTAAACAAGCCCTTATTTTTCATTTTTTTTATCATCAAACGAAACATATATAAAATCAATAAGCCATTTGCCATCTGGCCAGCAATACACTGAGGGATATTATCATAGGTGACCCTCTGGTCTGAGATAATAACATGTGCCCTTGCTAACGCATGCACGAGCAACACGATTCACAGACGTTCTACAAAAAGAGACAATAAAACTACTCTTTGTTTCTAAAATCTTCTGAATATCGTGAATAATGAGATAAAAATAGGAAGAATCATCCCCGTTTTTTAGGCATGGCAATGGGTCGGGGCGGGTACTGCAAGACTCAGACCCGCCTTGTGACTTGGCAGGGCGGGTACGCCCCGCCCCGTGGCCTGCATGGGTCCAAACTTTTTGACCCATGACCCGCCCCATGCGAGGCAGGTCTGCCCCGCCCCGTCAAAACCTAATTTGCTACTCCGTATTATGTATTTTTATTTGTGGGAAGTTGTTACCCATTGAATCTAAATAAAATTTATCTCTAAATAATAATTAAAATTAATATATTAAATCAAATTCATGATACGCTAAAAATTTCAAAAATTAAGGAAAAATTAGTCAGACTTGAATAGTTAATCTATTTAATGATATTAATAATTGAATATATGTATTAAAATGCTATATATAAAGAAGACATTGATAATCCGTCGTTCATCTCATTCTAATATTAATATATTATAAGATCAAAAAATTATGATTTGTTGTATATACACATATGTATGTTGAAGTATATATTTGTAGTATAATTTAAGAAAAAGTATATATACTTATATAATGAGCGGGTCGGGGCGACATGGGTCAATACTAGTACCCGGACCCGCCGCATTGTATAGGCGGGGCGGAGCGGACCCGCCCCATTTGCAAGACGGGGCGGGGCGGACCCGCCCCAAATGTCTCGGGCCAGGGCGGGTCATTGCGGGTCAGGTTTTTTTGACATCACTAGTTTTTTTTAATTCCTTGAAGTCTTGAACCACAGTGAGAGCATCCATCTCGATCTCCACATGACTCCAATTTTCCTTGGCTGTCTCTAGAATAGCATCTCGAACTCCCAATACCTCTGTCTCCGCTGCCGTCCATCTAGCCTTATGTTTTCGATTTATCAACCTCATTCATCAACTTTTTATTTTACGTGTTTAAATGTGTAAAAATAAAAATAAATTAGTTTAAAATTACTACTCCCTCGGTCCCTAATAACTTTGTCAAGTTTGATTGGCACGAGAATTAATAAAGTAAAAACTGCGTGATTGAGGTTTGTGCAAGTAGAGAGAATCAACTGGAACCACAAATTCTTTACTTAAAAGGGAAAGTGACAAAGTTAATGAAACTTCTAAAAAGGGAAAATTGGCAAAATTATAAGAGACGGAGAGAGTAGTTATGAATTAAACATATTCACAAATAAGGCTAAATAATGACCGTTCAAATATTTTTGCTTTAATTTAAAAATAAAAACTCTACACATGTGAGGCATTGTGATCGTACTTGGAATATCAATTATGATGGAGCCCACAGAAGATGCTCTTAGCCTCTCAAGATCTTACACATGGGCTCTACCCTTATATATTTGCATGCACCAATGTCCTTTGAGGTTTGAGCTAATCATTCGATCAATCCCTTGAACATTGGAAAATACTCCGTATTATTTTAACGTGGACCAAATAAGGACGCTTAACCCCTAGACAATGATCAAGCTAGAGACAATGAAAATGTTATTCTAACTCGCACGGGCAACTCAGTTGGTTGAGTGGTGGGAAATTTAGAATAATGACTAAAATTTGAAATCCACGGTTGTCGTGTAATGATTAGAACTCCTGCATATTGGGCTGAACTTCTGATACGCATCAGTATAAAATTACTATTCCACCATTGGAGCGATTGAATCACTACTACTTACTATTTCACCATTCCGTTGGAACAATTAAAATATTATTGGAAAAACTATCAAATAAGCCCCTGTACTATATCAAAAAAGTTGATTAGGCCCTTGTACTTTACAAACACTCAATTAAGTCCTCAAACTATTAAAAAATGTTCAATTAAGCCCTTTCAGTCGGTAAGTAACCGGTTTCCCGGTTAAATGTAACTCATTTCCCGGCAGCCGCCGTCGCTGGGGTTTGAGCACATCGTCGTCGTCACCATTTAATCGGGAAACCGGTTACTTACCGATCAAAAGGGCTTAATTGAACGTTTTTTAATAGTTCAAGGACTTAATTGAGTGTTTGTAAAGTATGAGGGCCTAATCGACTTTTTCGCAAGGTTTATTTAATAGTTTTCCCAATATTATTCGAACGTGGACCAAATAAGTACGCTTAACCCTTGAAAGCTAGAGACAATTTCTAGTGCCCTATCACTCAAAATAAGTAAATATTTTGCCACGTACTATCAGAAAGAAAACGACTGTTTCCTGAATGACGGGTGCCCTCAAATCTCCATTATTGCCATTTTGGGTGCGTAATTTCCCACCATTAGGAGAGGTCCTAATGTCTAATCATTTTTATGTTCTTTAATCATCAATCAATTTTTTTTATCATTATCATCAATCAATTAATTACTAGAGTCAATTAGGAAGTACCCCGGCTGCTAATCTATTGTCCTTAAAAGTTGATTACATGCTTAATAAAAGGGAGAGACGTGTTGTATCGTTTTTGTCAAAATACACTACACCCACCGGCCACCGTCTCACCGTACATCAATACATCATTCATTCAATGTATATTTTGTTTCCAAATAGATTGTCATTTTGAGAATTTAATGGGAGTTTCTGTACTAATCTCTAGATTCATTTATCCTTTAAAATATACTCCGCACAAATTATTTAGCATTGAGCTGTAAATTGTAAAAGCAATGTACGATATTTAAGATAATGAAAGGGTAGAATTTGAGGGTATGCCTTAAAGCATCTCCATTGCACAATTTACCTTCTCCATATCATTTTAAATGTTTAATGTATATTTTATAAAACGTAGGAGATTTTTAATACTGGAGTAAAAAGGATTAATTTATTTCCCAAAATTATAAAGATGACAATAATTTGATGACTATAGCAGTTCAATGTACTCTATTAAACAGTTAAAGTGATACGGAGACAGTAGTTGCTTTACTACAAAATTGAAAATAGGTACCTTATGGCAACTTTTTAATGGAAATTGTTAGTCCAAATAGTTGAATCCCAATTCCAAGAGCTCATCGAATTCTAATGCCGAGTATATATATATGGATGGTAAATCATTGTGATTCAAATAGTTCTCACTGTGATGGACCTTATACTCGTATGCACATGAGGTTTAGTCCGACATACAAGAGTTTTGACTTTCACACGACCGCTGTAGGTTTTTATTCTTAGTTATTTGTTCACTTTCCATCGATGGGCAAAATGGTTTGATTTAACTGAATCGAACCAAATCAAACCGAAAATTGATACTTTGGTTTGGTTTGAGTTTATTTAAGCAACCCGTTTGATAACAATTTGTTCAAATTGAATGGTTTAATTTAGCTTTTTTTGGTTAGGTTAGGTTTTAAACCACAAAACCGTAAACCGAACACTGAATAACTTGTAGTAATAATTATAAAAATATTTTGTATTTGTCTTCACTCCTCATCTTTATGATGTAATTAAATAATTTATGTATGAAAAATACATGTTAAGTATATACCATTTTAACTTTTACACATTTCATACATTAAGTATGACAAAGAAGCAATATACAAAGGCGGTCTCTCCCTTGATTAGGGTTTGGGTTTTTCTGCCGACTTCGGTGCGGCGGCGAGGGCTTGTAGCAACGCAACAACAACTCAGGTGAAGCGACGAGGCTTGAGAGTAGGGCGGCAGAATCTGAGTCGTAGCAGCGAGGGTCCACATACAAGCAGCAGCATCTCATGCGTAGCGGCATCACGATGCGAGCTGAGGTTCCATGGACAACCACAATCAGGTCATGAACAGGGACGAACACGAACGGATTAATGGGGAGGAAAGGCTGGTGGACAGCCTGGAGTGAAGTACAACGGCATGGGTTTTGGTGCAGATTCGGATGACTTGGGGATTGATGACGAAGACTGGGGCGTAGCTAGAATTGAAGATTGGGCTGGGCCGGTACAAAGAATTTTTCAGATAATTTTTTTTCACATAAATTTTTAGACTAAAAATACAAAGAATTTTCAAATTTGGAGCGGGCCGTGGCCCGGTTGGCCACCCCTCTAGCTCCGCCCCTGGACGAAGAGGTGGTCGAGTCGGAGGAAAACCAGTTTGTTGCGTCAACAATCATAGTGATGGTCCGTCCTCCACCTGAACCACCGCCAAGGGTTGAACGAGGTGCTAGGTTTCAAGAAATTTATTTTGCTTGTTTTGTTTTCTTCATGTTTTGTTTTTATTTGGAGTGTTATGTCTTTTGTTTTACTTTCCTTTTATGCTGTAAGACTTTTGCACTTAGATTGGGGGATGAGAGGTCTGCGGTAATCGTCGTTGATTTAATTATGTCCAAGTTAGGATCAACGAGTTATATTGCTTTGTTAAAGGTAATTAACTCTGATCGAGTCTGCTCCAAGGACGGATGGTTACATGCGGTTCTTTTGTTATTTCAAACCCTATCTAATGATATTTCATTAATGTAAGCCCCTTCGATCAAAACCGAAACATATACCGAATTGCCCACCCTACTTTATCGCACCAATAGTTGTGATTGTGCCAATAGTTGTGCTATAGCAATATTGTTATCTATAATAATAATTCACCACGGTTAAATGGTTAATCACTTTTCAAGTGAGAAGGCCGGAACCACGGTTGATCACTTTTCAAGTGAGAAGGCCGGAACCGATGCCAGCAACAAAACATTTCACAGTGGATGATTGAAATTTCTATATTCCAAAAGTGGCAATCTTACTTTAATTTCTACCATATTATATGCATTCTATGTAATTCTTTTTTATTTATTGGTACACTTGTGGTCTGATATCTGGTGACCGACACGTTTCGATTACCACTTATGGAATAATGACATTGACACAAATAACTATTCCTAAACCTGACATTTCTTTTAGGCAAGTTTTACTGCTCTCACATGCCGCAAAAAGAAGTTTAGATAAGGAACCACAGATTTAGATTTGAGGAGTTAATCTATAGAATATTGTAATAATGTAATGAAGCACATGGTTTCTCTTTCCTAACACAATCTAAAAAAATAATAACAGGTAATAATGTAAATAAAATATACTGTAGCTAATTGACGTAGCTATCATAGAGTTGTATGTTTATTATCCCAACTACTATGTGTTAATTATCTCCGTTGTTAAGTAAGTGCAACGCTTTGAATTTTTATCTATTCACATGTTTTATTTTGACTACTTTTATTTATTAATGCATTAGTAATTTTTTTTTGAAAAAAATATTGTCAATTTGTCTCATTGCACATTTTCAAAATCTGATTTTTTTAAAAAAAAATTAGTGACAGAGAATTATATATATTAATGATCAAAGTTATACATCGACAAATTGCAAAGTTGATCATTGCACTTATTTAAGAATGAAAAAAATGATATATTAAAGACTATACTCCCAACCTCAACCAAGATATTCAAAACTGAGATGTAATGTCCATCAAGAGAAAAAAAAGACAATACAGGTAAACTGACTCATTTTTGTCATAGATTATTATCATCTTATTTTCAGTTGTAGTGTTAGTGTTATTCAATAAATTGGAACATACAACTAAAACTAGCCAGTGTACTCGATATTTAATATTGTATGATTTAACTCATTCAACGACGTGTAGGTAGTCTGATGGAGGGATATGATATGATCATACGTCCTTAGATGTAATGCTTGCCTTACCCCTGACTCATTTTTCATCATACATTAATACCTTTCTGATCTTATTTTCAACCGTAGCATCATTGTTAATTCAAGCGATTGAAACGTACAACTAAAATCAGATTGCATGATGTATAATATCATATGAGTTAACTCACTCAACCACATTTTAGGGTATACTGATGGAGGGATATAATCGTACATTTTTAAATGTAACGCTCACCTTACCCTGGAGTGTTTTCGTCATATATTATTGACTTACTGGTCTTATTTTCAGTCGCAGCGTCAGCGCTAATTCAATGAATTGAAACGTACAACTAAAATCAATGTAATCGATATTTAATATTATATGATTTTACTCAGTCAACGACGTTTGGATAATCTAATAGAGGGTCATGATCATACGTCTTCAGATGTAATGTTCGTTCTACCCATGACTCATTTTCATCATACATTAGTAACTTTCTGATGTTATTTTCAACTGTAGCATCATTGTTAATTCAATGTAATGCTCGCCTTACCCTGGAGTGTTTTCGTCATACATTATTAACTTACTGGTCTTATTTTCAGTCGCAGCGTCAGCGCTAATTCAATGAATTGAAACGTACAACTAAAACCATACTACCTAATCTGTAATGTCATACTTTGTATGATTTAACTCATTCAACGACGTTACATGTATACAGATGGAGTAATATAATCTGTTTAGATATAACGACGATCGGCTTACGCCTACCATACGACGGGGGCGGTGGGGCCGTGGGGGTTAGGGGTTGTTAAAATGTTACTACTAAATGATACACGTGTTTGGATTGCCATTTTCTCCTTGACATGGACTTCAACCATAAGCCATAGGGTGATAGGAATGACAATGTGTCATCCCATGCTATGTTTTTTTGGGCTCAAGTTTATTTACCCAAACATGAATAAGAGAAATTTATATGCGCATGGTTTGTGCTTAAATGGGAAGTCTGAAAGGGATTGCACTCATTTTCTATAATACTGTTCTTCACGTGTCACTCCATAAGACCCTCCTCCCCACAAAGTACCTCCCACATAGTAAGTGCTAAGATATTAAGGACTGCTATTATTTTCTGAATCGACCAGCTGTCAATTCTTGCTCTTAAGAAAATATCTGCCTAGTCTCCATCTGTTTTTGTGATCCACCAATCAGTAATCAGTATCTAATCTTTTCATACAGAACTTAATTTGTGATTGTTATGATAAAAAGAAAATGAAAAAGTGAATACACATACACCCATCATCAATTCATTTATTTCTCCATTGGTGTAGCTAGTTTCTTTCAAATCAATTCATTTTTTCTTATTAGACAATGCCCTTGTGCTCATTTGTTCTACACATTCTTTCCCCGTTTATTCATTTTTGCGTAGGGGTGGACAAAAGACAGTTTTGCCTCAGCCTCTCGTTCTAATTTGGGATTGCAATATTCATTTCTGTTTTGAATCGAAGAACTATAAAACGCTTGAAACAGAACGCAATACAATAAGATATGATCAAATCAAATAAAACGGTTTCAGAGTGAAATCGACTATACTTATTCTTTAATACATTGAAAATGAAGTCCGAACACTAGTTTTAGAACTCCAAACAGTCTTCCTAACGAACTATAAAATGCTTGAAATAGACGAAATAATATGATCAAATATTTTGATTTGATCGTACCCCATTTGTTTGTTTGATACTATCGTATTTATTATATTGGTTTGGTGGTCTAAATTGGTCTCATATGACTTATTCTAACTACTTGGACTAACTTGTTTAAACCATGGTCGAATTTAGTCTACTATGTTTGAGCTTGATACTATACAAATTTTACTACGTACTCCCGTAATACTTCTTTGTACCAGAACTTTATCATTTACTCTTTCAGATTAGTTGATAGATACTCGTATTATTTAAGTACTTGATGTGATTTAAATTGAGTGCCACAGTAAACAAGTCGGTAATAAGGACCAATTCACCGGAAAAGCATGTTTGCGATCTGTGTTTGATAAGAGAGTGAAGACAAAGAGATAACGTGAGTTCCACCCAGCGAAAAATGCGAAGCTAGCTAATGGACGGATGATGATAGATGACACATTGCCAAGATAAGGTGATCGTTTTTGTCACCATCTATAGCACTGTGATGCAATAGTGCTCCATTGCTGTTAAATTACGACACCTTTTACACAGATTTCCTGGGGGGTGGGGTGTATATCATCAAGTCTAGTAATAAAACTTTAAACGAAGTAATTGAGGTAAAGTTTAGGCATTTATGATATTAACAAGACGTTTAATTACAATATGCAAATGCCATTCTATAACAACCAACATATCTAAAACTTGAACCAACTGTGCATAGCTTGAAAATTTTAGTAAAAAAAGAACAGCAGAACTGAGCAGAACCATCCCCATCCTCTTATCAGCAACTCCATCTAGTTTCTGGACCAATATGGAGACCATTACTTGTTGTCCATGCTTTGAGCTTCATTTGAGAACCCATGATTCCACCCTTCCACCACCAATCACCCTATCTCATCTGTCAGCAAGTTCTCCAATAAGAGTACTAAACATTACTTTCATCCACTCTTTTCTCTTCTGTTCTTTTTTTCTCTTTCAGCATTTTCCATTCAGTTTCCTTTTCCTCTTCTTTTTCTTTTCAAATATCATCATATTGGGCCGGATCATCATCTTCCAGAGGATAGCAAGTGTCATCTCCGCCAGTATTCCATAGAAAATGAGCATAACTTGCAGCATAGAAGGAATTTGCAGGCTCAGCGTCTATGGCTGCTTGGTAGGCCTCTTCTGCTCCCCAAAGTTCATTCTTTGCTTGCCAAAGGAACGTTGCGTATTTGTTTAGTGCCTCTCCATCCTTTGGCTCCACCTCTGTTGCTTTCTTGAAGTATTCCTCCGCTCTGTTACCAAATACAAATCAATATTTCATCTTTTCCGACCAACAACACTTGAGGAATTATTTAAGAAACTATGCCATCATATATCTTCCTACCATAAGGATTCTGTTTACTCTATAATAATACTAAAAGTACTCATGGTAAAAAGTACAACTAGTGTGAAATTGGATCAATATGGACACTAATATCACTAAAAATTTCATCTTGGACACTGCATATTAAAACTTACATTTCTAGCCATTAGATGTAAGGTGTCAAGTATTTATAATTATTTCTAACATAACAGAAAGGAAGGATGGATGTACCTGTCATAGTCTTGAACAACCATGTAAAGAAACTGAGCATAATTGGTAAGCAAAAGGGTATTCTTCGGCTCTTGGGCAAGTTCTGATTGGTAAAACAACTCTGTTCGAAAATAATCTGCATTATCACAAGACTCCATCTTCCCGATTACGGGGGAAACGAAATTCATAATGGTATCACGATCCAAAGACGGATCTTGTGACTCAGATTGCAATCTTGAAGCCTCATCACAAATAGACTTCCACAACAACTCTTCTTCGCTGGAAACCTTATCAGAAGAAAGTGTCTGTTCTTCAGTAGTAGCTGAAGAAGACACTCCATCAGTTGCAATGGCTAGACCATCAAACCTCCTCCCATCACCATCAGTCCCACCAGAAACTGGCCTGAATTTGCCACCTCCCCCACTGTTTCCGCCAATCGATATGCTCTTCCCATTGGAAGAAGAGGATGCTGAAAAGGTTGAAAAATCAAATTTCTGATTTATATGGCTGTGATGACCTTCAACCACAGAGACCTCTTCAGAGGCACATGGAGGGGTACAAGCAAAGGCAGAACTTGTAGCTAAAGAATGGACACTGAAATTGGCAAGAA